ATAAAATTTTTTATTTCATCAAGGATGTTCCTTTTTTTCTTCTATATTACATATATATAATCTAAGGATTTCTTGAAACAAAAAGGTATGATTAAAATTTATGGAAACTTACAGCAAATCTCAACCTGCGCTTACAAGAGAAGAAAAAGAACCGTAGCCATAAAAGAGAGATCAAAGTATTAAAAACTGCCTTCTGCAATTAAGCAAACGATATTTCAAACAGAAAGTCGTAATTGTAATCAGGTCGATTTTTCAATATCAATCAGAACATAAAATCTAGCCATTACCCAATATTTTCTTCAAAATGCTAAAATCTTTTCATGTAGCATTACCCATCAAAAGTTGAATCTCTGAGATCATCAGATGGAGATCTTTTCCAGCACATTGCATCAGTATTTTTGACAATAGTAGAATACATTTGCAAATGCAACTCAAGAGACTTTTTATAGGGGTTAGGAACAAAATATGTGCTTTGATACATGTCATAAGCAATATGCATGCTTTTTATTCTAGCTAGCACTTAACATTTCATCTTGAAAGTTTCTATCAACATCTTCTGGTGATTGATCCAAAGGCAAGGTGCTCATCTACCGAGACTTTATTAGTAGCCAACACGTTTCAACCCTGTCCATAAAACTTAAATTAGCATTATGATATAGTGAAAAATCAATTTAAACTTGTAATAAGAACAATAAAATGCTTTACAAATTTTACAAGATTGAAAAATAAATAAAACAGTTTTGATTGTTTCTTTTACTTGTGTTCTGCCACCTGAAACCATGTTGGATTCCTCAACCTTTTGTCAATCAACCTCGAGAGGTCTTAGGGCTTTTTTGTCAACTCATCCACTAAGTTGCATTTGGACACTAACTTGGATAAGGGCTTATACTGTGTTTGGCAAAAAACTTGTACAAGGTAGCAAACTTCTTTGCTAACTGCTTCTTTAATTTGTTTCTCTCTTCTAAACACGGTCCTGCAACTAACATGTCATCAACATACAATAATAACATGATATAGCTGGTCTCGAACATCTTAAAATAGCAACAATGATCTAAATTATATCTTCCATAGCCATTGCTCTGCATGAAGTTGTCGAACTTCTTGTACCACTACCTCGGAGCCTGTTTCAAACCGTGCAAGCTCTTCTTGAGCTTACACACCATCTCTTCCTTTCCTTCTTCAATGAAGCTAACATGTTGCTTCATGTAGATTCATTCATCCAAGTCACCATGAAGAAAGACAGTCTTCACATCCAACTGCTCAACGTAGAGATTTTCAGCAGCTACTAAGCTTAACACCACTCTAATAGTTGTAAGCTTTACAATGGGGTAAAATATCTCAATATAATCCACTCCTTTCTTCTGTTGGAACCCTTTCACAACTAATCTGGCTATGTACCTCTTGCTTCCATCACTCTCCTGCTTGACCCAATAGACCTATTTATTATGTAAGGCTTTTTTCTGTGCAAGTAGCTGGTCTAACTCCCATGTCTCGTTCGAGTGGAGAGAATCCATCTCTTCTTGCATTGCCTGCTCCCACTGCTGAGATTCACTAACTTGCATAGCCTCCTCATAGCACTCCGATTCTCCGGCATCTGTCAAGAGCAAATATTCTAGTGACGAAAGATATCTAGGATTCGGTTTGGGTACCCTGGATGACCTCCTAAGCTCCACACCCTGGGTAGTAGCCTCTGCACCTGTAGTCTCCTCCGTTCTTCGGTTAGAACTAACACTATCTCCCCCATATGAAAGTTCCTCCAAATCCATATACTCAGATCCACCTACATCCTTAGTGCTGCTCCTACTACTTTGGTTACCTTTGTTATTGTCTGTCCTTGTACATCACCTCCTCGTTAAATATCACATCTCTGCTCCTGATGATTTTTCTGTTCTTCTCACCCCAAAGATGATACCCAAACTCATCAATGTCGTATTCAATGAATGTATATTTTTGTAACTTAGCTTCTAGCTTATCCCTGATATGGTCACTGATATGAACATATGCCAAGCAACTAAATACTCGTAAATGTGAGAGATTAACCTTCTTGTCACTCCAAACCTCTTCTGGAATCTCAAAATCCAATAAAACTGATAGACATTGATTAATCAGTTAAGCTGTCGTATGCACCGCCCCACCCAAAACATATTAGGTAGATCTGCATGGAAACACATACTCCTCGTACGTTCTGTCATCATCCTGTTCATCTCTCTACAACGCCATTCTGTTGCGGCGTCTCTGGAGTTGTCCTCTCCAAATAAATCTCATTTAGAATACAGAACCTCTTGAACTCCTCCAGGTTATATTCTCCATCATTGTCTGATCTCAGACACTTCACCTTCAGATCTGTCTCGTTCTCTATCATGGCTTTCCACTTCTTAAAGATCCCGAACACATCTGACTTGTGCTTCATGAAGTATATCCACACATTCCTCGAGTGATTTTCGATAAAGGTGACATAGTACGTGTTTGGTTCAGAAATTTCTATTTTTATTGTCTTGATTCTATTACAACTTTAGTCGTTACAATAAACTCAAATAAATAAAAGTTGATCTTTTTATAAGATCTTCTTACACAATAAAAATATAAAGATTATAATTCATTCAAACAACACTCAACATCAGTTTATCTCCTGTTGCTTGCGTGCGATCTTTGTCTGTGTCGGGTTTTATCCTTGGACCGCCTACGGATCGGATCCGGTTGATAGAATTATTGATCAGAGCTCTCACTTCATGAAGGAAGCAATCGCTGAAGTTTTGATCTCGACCAAGCGAAATCATAACTCTTCTCAAGATCAAAACCAAGTTTGATTCGAAGGAAAGGGAAACGAGCCTCAGATCTCTCGAACTCTCCTTCTTTATGCCGAAGAACTCGCCAAGATCTGCTAGCCTCTCTGAAATTCGTCAGAACCTTGCTCTAGCTCCTCTAAAATTCATGGCTCCCTTCAAATCTATTTTTATGAGGATGCTAGGGGTGTATTTATAGGCTTTAAATATCGTGTTTGTGGATAGGAATGGCGTGTTTGTGGATAGATAGGGTCGAAGAACAACCGTTATTATCTGTTTAGGTGGGTTTTCGATTGTGTAACAGCTTCCACACATTTAAGGATAACCCCACATGTTTGTGTATTACCCCAAGGAGTTCTAGAAACTAATCTTATCAGAAAATACACCAGGAGCTGACCTGGGCGCGAGTCACTTTGACTGTCTCGCACATGTCCGAGATAGCTTAGACTGTCTCGGGTATTTTGGTCTTAACTCTTTCGTCTGACCTTAGAATGAGATGATTCAAGATATGTTGAAAAGCCAAAGATGAGATCTACAACCTTCCATAGGTGAATCATATATGGAGTGGACGATACACGAGTGACACTTTGTCTTTCGTGAGTGAAACATAATTCCTAATTGGATCGTTTCTTCGCCATTCTGTCCTCCCGTTGGTTCGTACGCTTCGCCGACTCACTTCATTCACTTGTCGATGTCAGATAATCCTTCTTGACTCGTATAATAATATTTATTATTTTTTCTCTGTCTCGAGCTGCGTGTGAGAACCCATAAGTAACTTTTAACGCCTATAGATACCCCCTCCAAAGTGTTTTAATCTCGCTTCTTTTATAGAAAAGCCTAAAATACTTTGGATATGATAGGCCCCACCTTCAATCAGTGTAAAAGGACTTATAATTAGCTTTAGTTCTTAATTTCTTCAATTCTCAGTCTATTCAGTATTTTGTCGAATAGTTGAGATTATGTTGGTGTTGCGTTTATCATTTGACTGTTGTTGAAACCTCGAACTGAAACTGGTGTATTAGTTTCTGATATTAGCTCGTGTCATTGAGTCGACGTTGAACTGACTATCTTCATCGGGGATTCGTATCTGAATTATGATTGAACTCCCTGGGATCATCCTTTGACCTAAAATTGATCTGAGTCTTGTTTCGGCTAAAAATTATCGACGTATTGATCTTTATCGTAATGTGTTGATTGGCGTTGACTTTTCCTCACAACACGTTGAACGACATAAATATTGAGATTGCAGGACCAAATATTGGGGCTTGGTTCTTCTGCAGGTATGGATTTTACCCTTACATCCCATTAGTTATTTATTTAACCACGGGGGAGTTTTGGTTGTAGGATCAGCTTTTGGAGCTGATACGGCTATCATTGCAAATGTTATTAAAGTTCCTCATGGAGACTTCGGCTGGAATTGATGTTGTCTCGGGTGCTCAAATCATGAGACAAACTGATGAAGCTGATGCGTCAGTGACTATCGGACTTCTAGGATTTTTGGTAAATTTTCAGCCATCAACGGATTTGATAAGCCTTTACCGACTACTGTTTGAGTCGGGCTAGCATGCAGATTGTCTAAGTCCGTTCCGTATGTAACGTTGTGCTAAAAGAGTTAACTCTCTTAGACTTAATGTTATGCTATTGAATACATAGACTTCGTTATTATTACGGGAATAAGCTACACGGCAACGCGTATTGGGCATAGACTTGAACAAACCTTTAATCTCGAGTTATCCTTAAGAATATTATGTGTAATATTCTTCAGGAACTTCTCGCTGGAAATAAGAGAAACAGTTTAGACTCGTATACCCAATTAGAGTATCATAGAGAAGCAGTTTAACCTCTTATACTCATTGGAGGATGGGAGCAATTTAACCTCATATACCTATCGGAGGAAGCCATTCTCATTTGGATTCTTTCGGCATTATGATGCCAACGTTAACCAAGGCTTGAATACTATTTTTTAGCGTAATACAAGTATTGGTGGGGTGATGGATCCTCATGTGATACGCACAGTACTTTGGATCCGAAATCTTATTTGCTTCCTCCTGACTTGTAATCGGTGGTAGCTTGATTTTATCGTTGGTGAGGAGGTATTTGAAGATGGCTGGAACTTCATCATATTTGAAAGAATACTCCTCCTAGAACTTTAAATTAAGAGTCCCTTGTTGCCTCCAAGGTGGCTGTTGATGAATATCATCAGCAGTTGTAGGTACTTTAGTCGTCGGTTGGCCTCTCTCGAGCTCCTTTTCTTTTGAGGAAGCACTCGACCTGTTCTCCATGTAGTTTTAATTCCTTCCATGTGGTTAAGGGGACAACCCCCATGACTTCGAGGACATCGATAGAGAGATTGTTATGGTAAGTCTGCAAGATGAACTCCTCTATGATAGGATCCTTGCAATTCATTGCCTTATTACGAAAGTGTTTGACAAAACTATCAACTAACTCACTATCCTTCTGCTTCTCCTCCAGAAGAGCTCCGATCGACACTTCAGTGTTATCGTCAAAGAAGTTGTTAAGGAACGAGCTTTCCATATCGTCCCAGCAATTAATGTTTCCCAGCTTGAGACGTCGATACCAATCGAAGGCCGCCCCACGAAGGGTGCCTACGAATGACTGAATCATCAGGGATTCATTTTCAGAGATCACTCCCAGGTGGGACTTGAAATAAATTAGGTGCTGAGTGGACGAACCTTTCCCATCAAACAACATGAAGTTAATTAGATTAAACTTCGTCAGGTATGGGATTGAATCACACTCTCTTGGATATGGGCACAGAATGCCCGTTCTCCTTACTTCTTGAGTGGACATTAAGAAATTGACCTTATTCTCCAGCTCTTTCATCATCTCATTGTTGTCTACATCTTCATTCGAAGGACGTTGAGGAGAATGAGTTGGACCACCCCCAGCGTTTTTATTTTTAGGGGGTGCATTTGAACCACCCTTAGTGTTATTGAGGGGTGCGATTGGACCACTCCCAGCATTTTGGAGAGGTGCGTCAGCAATGATGACTTCGTCCACTTCTGGATTACTGTCGATAGCGATGTTCTAGGTGTGGCGACTGGATTCAACTTGCTGATTTGATAAAGCTTGAAGTTGCTGGTCATGTAACTCCCTCACCTGTTGTATGTTCAGCTCCATTTGCATGTTCATTTTAGCTCTAAGCTCTTATCGCTATCGAGCTAAAGCCTCTTGAAGCATTTGAGCCACTTGATCTGGGGTGATCATGAACGACTCCCTTACTTCCCCCTTACTGGACATTGTGTTGTTAGAGGCAATTGCAGAACACGTATCTAAGGGATCGTCATCTGAAGTGACTGTGGAGCAAGTGTCTGACAACTCGTTATCTAAAGATAGTCCTTTGTGCATCCTTGGATAATCCCTATGTCCGATGGCTTCTAACTGGAGCCGAGACATTCGTTGGGCAATTCCTAGACTGACTTTTCCTCCCAGGTGAAAGTCAGGATTAGGATCATTCGAGCGCCATATTGATTTTTCTTTGTCAACCATATTGATGGTGACTTCAGATACTTCATCATCCTGAATGGTGGATTTTCTCTTGTGGAAGCATTTTGGCTTGGGCTTTGATGCTTCAGTGGAAAGCTTCTCGAATATCGAGATCCTTTGTGAAATGATCCTGGGGCAGCTACATTTTGATAATACCACCTTGATAAGCCTCTCACATGGTTAGTGAGAGTTAGTTTCTTAGACATTCTTCTTTTGGGATTTGTTCACACCGCTAGCCTGATGGTGCAGCTCATTAGAGCAATCCACCGCTTGTTGGTGTGATACCCCAAGTATAACGTTGTCTTTTAACGAACACGTTTTTTTTTGGGGATGAAGAACCTTGTTGACATTCTTGGGACGATTCGTTGTCACCTTTGAATGATCCAAGGTCGCATAAGGAGTCGCATAAGGAGTCGCATATTTAGAACCACCCCTTGCGAGCGTGAGGTCTTAACGGGCTCTTGGGTTCCAATATGAACCCCCAGATGATAAATGCCAGGAGTCCTCTTATGCATGGTGCATGAACACGTACAATGAGGTGCCCCGGTTTGTTTGGAGGTAGCGGGACACATTTGAGCGGTCTTTGGCTTGACAGGAGTGTTTGTACGACCCCCAACCTGAGGAACTACTCGGGTTTTATTCACCAGAGCTTTGTCTCGATCTTCATGTAGAGGACCCAGGCGATCTTTCATCGGAATCTTAAATTTGGATAGATCCACACTTCCGTAGGGCTTTGTCGGAGGTGCGGGAACAAGACAAGTGGGCTCGGAGGCCGACGGAGTTGATTTTGGCGTTGTTTCGGCCTTTGGCACCCTGACTTGTTTGGATTTTGGTGGTTTTTTGGCCACCTCTTCCTTCTGCATGCTTTGAGCTTTTCGCATAAAGGCACGCCTACGTGCAGCACGTGCGTGTCGCTTTTGTATGTGCTCCTTCAAGGTTGAACGAGTCCTTTTGATAAGAACCCATTCTCCCGTCGATGGGTTGGAGGAAGTAGCAGCAGCTTGCCGTTGAGGCGGCTGGATTAAATGACGCTTCCTAGACTCCAAGTCTGCGTAGTAGCGAACTCTATCGACTTATTCTAACGCGTTGGCAATTTGACGAGCTTGGTGTTGGCGTCACCTCTGATGAGCCCTCTTCGTCAGAGTTGGCGTACCTTGATTGAATAACTCCTTGATTGGAGAGGAGCTATGGCAAGAGTCATTTGTAGCCTTCATTGACGAATACACTTCCTTCAAAGACGGGATCTTTCCGCACTTGTAGGGAGAGGAGGATTTTGATGAAGACGAGGATAAATGTTTCTCGAATTTAGCTTCGTCAAACTCGTACTCGACCTCTGAATCAACTAGGATCTTGATGTTTGGTTGCGACACGACTGCCTCGGTGACAAGACTATTGGCTCCCACTGTGGTCATCAACGTGTTTGGTTCAGAAATTGCTATTTTTATTGTCTTGATTCTATTACAACTTCAGTCATTACAATAAACTCAAACAAATAAAAAGTTGATCTTTTTATAAGATCTTCTTACACAATGAAAATATAAAGATTATAATTCCTTCAAACAACACACAACAGTAGTTTATCTCCTGTTACTTACGTGAGATCTTTGCTTGTATCAGGGTTTATCCGTGGACCGCCTACGGATCAGACCCGGTTGATAGAATTATTGATTAGAGCTCTCACTTCACGAAGGAAGCAATCGCTGAAGTATTGATCTTTGACCAAGCAAAATCACGACTCTTCTCAAGATTAAAACTAAGTTTGATCCAGAGAAAAGGGAAACAGGCCTCGGATCTCTCAAACTCTCCTTCTTTATGCTGAAGAACTCGCCAAAATCTGCTAGCCTCTCTGAAATTCGTCAGAACCTCACCCTAGCTCCTCTGAAATTCGTGGCTCCCTTCAGATCTGTCTTTATGAGGGCGCTAGGGGTGTATTTATAGACTTTAAATGCCGTGTTTGTGGATAGGAATGACGTGTTTGTGGATAGGGTCGAAGAATAATCGTTATTATTCATTTAGGTGGGTTTTCGATTGTGTAATACTTTCCACACGTTTAAGGATAACCCACATGTTTATGGATGACCCAATGAGTTTTAGAAGCCAATCTTATCAGAAAACACATCGGGAGCTGACCTGAGCGCGAGTCACTTCGACTGTCTCATACATGTCCGAGACAGCTTGGATTGTCTCGGGTATTTTGACCTTAACTCTTTTGTCCGACCACAAAATGAGATGATTCAAGATGTGTTGGGAAATATGAAAAAGAGGCCTATAACTTTATCTTTTGAGATTCTTCAGATTCGAATCTTATAATAGCTAAAATGTGCGAGACACAATTAGTATCTCGTAGGTACAGAACAGTCTGGACTGTCTCGAGTGTTTTGGCTCTAACTCTCTCGTCCAACCTCGGAATGAGATGATTTAAAGTGTGTTGGAAAGACGGAGATGAGATCTACAACCTTCCATGGGTGAATCATATGTGGAGTGGACGATACACGAGTAGCATATTTTCTTTCGTGAGTGAAACGTAATTCCCGATCGGATCATTTCTTCGTCATTCTGTCGTCCCGTTGGTTTGTACGCTTTATCGACTCGCTTCATTTGCTTGTCGATGTCAGATAATCCTCCTTGACTCGTTATAATGATATTTATCATCTTCTTCTCGTATAATGCTGTAGTGGTCGCCAGCGTGTTTGGTTCAGAAATTGCTATTTTCATTATCTTAATTCTATTACAACTTCAGTCGTTACAATAAACTCAAATAAATAAAAAGTTGATCTTTTTATAAGATCTTCTTACACAATAAAAATATAAAGATTATAATTCCTTCAAACAACACACAACAACATTTTATCTCCTATTGCTTGCATGAGATCTTTGCATATGCCGGGGTTTATCCGTGGACCGCCTATGGATCGGATCCGGTTGATAGAATTATTGATCAGAGCTCTTACTTCATGAAGAAAACAATCGCTGAAGTATTGATCTCGACCAAGCAAAATCAATACTCTTCTTAAGATTAAGACCAAGCCTAATCTCAAGGAATGGAGGTACGGGGTTTCGGATCTCTCGAACTCTCATTCTTTATGCCAAAGAACTCACCAAGATCTCTTCCTCCTCTCTGAAATTCATGGATCTTGGCTCTGAAGTTTGGCAGCACCTCCTCATCTTGATAATCATTCGCCCCCCGTGAAAGAAGACCCTAGACTTGTATTTATAGGGCTTCGGATGCGGTTATTTGGATAAGAACAAAGGATTTGACCATATCTTCAGTTGACAATGACCTAACCCCGTTTAGAGATGATATCCAATCAATTAAAATGCTCTAAAATGAACAAATCCTGAGAAATATCAAGAAACGCGTCAAAAACACGGTTTGGGCAGTTACGGGTGCGTGGCAGGCCACGGTGACCCGCGTGGGCGTGGGTCACCAAATGGTGACCCGCATGAGTGCGGGTCACCAATTGGTGACCAGCATGCCTGCGGGTCACCAAGTGGTGACCCGCTTGATCGCGGGTCACCCGCGTGTGCGCTGGTCACCAAGTGGTGACTCACGCCCCCACGCAGGTTCTGAGGCTTTTTTGAGCTTTCAGTGTTTTCTGACTTTTTCAGACTTGTACTTTCTACCATTTTACATATTTGGTCATATTGTTGACTTGTACGCTTCGCTAACTTGCTTCATGCGCTCGTTAGCTTCTTGATAGCACTTGGAACTGGCCGACAAGCGTAGTAGCCATTTGGAGCTGGTCGACAAGCACGGCAGGCACTTGGAGCTGGCCGACAAACGCGACGGGCACTTGTATAACTCTTCTTAACTCGAATGGTGATGTTTATCGTCTTCTCTTCATCTCGAGCTATGTGTGGGGAACCTATAGGAATTTTTAAACGACTACAGTACGCCGAATCGCCAAGAGAAGACACGCTAGCTGGAACCTAAACATATGTGTGGACAAGCTCTAGCTTCTGAGCTTTAGGTGGTCTTCCACTCTTCTGAAAGCTGACCCTCTTTTGCTTTTCGTAGATATAATCCTCGCAAATGCCAACTTTAACTAAATCGATTCCGATTAGCTTTCCCTGTGAGTGTAAAATCTTCATACCATTATCACTCATGTGTCCCAGCCTATTGTGCCACAAATTAGCACTCTCATTGCTAGCTGTAACTGCGAGAGTGTCACTCGCATGTGAAGTAAGGTATAGAGTTCTTGTTTTATTACCGCGGACAACCATCATAGTATCGTTGGAGATCTTCAACGAATCCCCGATGAATGTTAAAATATAGCCTTCTGCTCTAAGCTAACCAACCGAAACAAAATTCCTCTTCAGCTTCGGTACGTGTCTGACATTCTTCAGATTTCACTTAGAGTCCTTCATCTGAACCTGCACATTGCGTCTTCCAATAATACTACAAGGTTCGTTGTCCTCCAAGTACACTTTCCTAAAGTCCCATGCTACATAGTTCTGAAAAAGCTTCCTATTAGCAGTAGCGTGGAAAGAGGCTTCTGAATTAATTACTCATGAATTAGAATCGATGTCCATAGCAAGGATCAAGGCATCTTGCACAAGATGAGCATCCTGCTCATTTGTATCCTTCTTTGGCTCTTTGCAAACTGAAGACATATGGCCTTCCTGGCCGCAGTTCCAACACTTCTCTTTGATAGGCCTAACCTTCGAGTTCGACCTCTTCTCCTTCGACTTTGACTGATTCCTGTTCTGATTTCTCTTCTTCTGGCTTCGGCCTCTCTGCTCGAGATATAGGGATGAACCTGAACCTTCTGATTCAAATGATTTTCTTCTAACCTCATCGGATAAAATCATGCTAACAACCTCGCTCAACTTCAACTTCTCTTTCCCCGCAGAGTTGCTAATTGCGGTCACGCAACCTGCCTAACTATATGACAAGTGTAATAGAATCAATACGGCCTGCACTTCATCATCAAACGTGATGTCGACGGAGATAAGTTGATCAACGATCGTGTTGAACTCACTGAGATACAACGTGAAGGAATATCCTTCTGCCATCTTGAGGTTGAAGAGCGTATTGACGAGATGCCGCAAGAGCTTCCATAAGCCCCACCGTCGTCTTCTCATTTAATATATTGTGGGTGACTGGTTTGGCAAGCGACAATCGAATCTGCCCTAGAGCCCTTCGATCCAATATTTCACAGTCCTTGTCAGATTCATCCTTCTTTCCCTTAGCCTTACCCATCAACGGACGGTAAAGATCCTTCTGGTATAGAGTCCTCCATCTGTGACTTCCAGCAGGCGAAGTCTGATTCGTTAAACTTCTCAATCTTCGATTTGCTTTCCTCTACCATGGCTCTCGCACAAATCTCCTGAACGAAGCTCTGATACCAGTTGTTGGGATCGAACACACAACCTTTGCCCTTCCGGATCTTGTGTCGAAAGTAAGGAAGCAGGAAATCACAACAAATAAAAGAAAAACCTGCAGGAAAGAATAATCAAACAGAGAATACCAAATTTAACAAGGTTCGGCAAACGTGTCTACGTCCTTGGGAGCCACACAAAAAACTTTGATTAATTGAAGAAGATTACAATGCTCGCAATAGGCCTCTCTCTAAGATCTTTGATCTCAAAGTGCCGTCAAAACCCTCTTTCTTCGTGTTCTACAAATCCTAAAACGTTTAAGGTATATATAGTATCACAGCCCAAAATAGATTTCCAAACAGATTAGGAATCTGAAAAATCCGACGTCGGTCGACCGATGCAATGACATCGGTCGACCGGCTAGAACACTGATTTTATTTACAGTCTGCTCGTGCACGTTTCGGTCGACCGGTGCCCTAGCGTCGGTTGACCGGTTGACTACTCTCAGTCGACGGCGTTCAGCAAGATTCTCGCGACCGGTAAGAGTGTTTCTGGGTTTTCGCGCTACCGCATTTCGATCGGACAGATCCGAAGCCTGTCGGTCGACCGGAGATGGATTTTTTAGGCTTTATTGTTGATTTCATTTTCAAGTTTCGGTCTCCATACTTCCAAAAACAACATATAAAATGTCTTTAAAAAATAATAACAAGAGAGCATATATATATATATTATAATATAGATATAATATACTATATATATAATATAATATAAGTATATATATTATATATATATATATATATATTATATATATATTATATATATATATACCATTATATATATATAATATTAGAGAGATGAGAGATGAGAGAGAGAGAGAGAGAGAAATGGCAGAAAACTTGGTACGCAAGTTGCTTGTAGTGATGTGTAGGCACTAATCTGCCCTACATCACACACTCGAAGATAGCTCTCAGCGCACGACGCTTCACGCAACTGCGCAATGTAAGATGTAGGGACAGAGATTAGACGCGACATCACTATAAGGCTACTTGTTTACCAAAGTTTCTCCATTTTCTCATTAATATATATATAGTATATATATATATATATATATATATAGTATAATATATATATAGTATATATAAGACATCGTTATATATAATATAAAAGAGTCATTGCGCTATATAATATATATAAGAGAGCAAAGCGAAATGAAACTATTAGGTATTGAAGTGCTGTTTAGCCAAAATAGTAGTTGGAAGTCAAGTCTAAAGAATAGAGATCTTCAATATGTAATAATTCAAATATTTTAACAATATTGATTTGTTCCACTGATCTTTATAACTTCAGCTTCGATTCACCCTTTGGAAATTTTCCTTTTCTTCAAAACCCTTACTCATTGGTGATTCTCTCTCACACAATGAAATTTGAACACGTGAAATGTTAATGAAAAACCATTTATTGAACTCTCTTTTCTCCATGAAAATGATTGTAAACTGTTACAGAAAAAAACTATCATCTGTTCATTCTAACAAGAGCTAGCTTAATATAACAAGGGTTTTCAACTTCATGTGAATTTCTCATTATACTGCTGCACCACCAACACCGACGTCCCCTCTCCAATATCCGCCGATGCAAGCAAGTCCCCAATCGGCCCGAGCTCTGGACACTCCATCCACTCCGTCAGCCCAGCTGTCATCGGCGATGGGCCCTGCGACCTCCCCACGACATACAGATCGCATGTATGATCCATCGACCTGATTGCCGCCACAGTCTCCTCACTACTACTCACCACTGTTTCCACATACTCGATTGACTCATTGCCCAAGTTTGCTGCCCGGAACTCACTCACATACTCATCATCAGAAACTTGACCGCCATCAACCTCGGAATTCCCTATGTCGATGACGCTTGAATGCAGTAACGTTTCGTTGATCTCGTAGGATGATAACAGGGGTGATGACATGCCTGGAGCTTCTCCAGCAACTTGCTCTCCAGGGACAAACCTCACCACAGTGAGGGTGACCGCAGGGTGCTCAGCCATCCTCCACGCATAACAAAGCGCCTCGCGGTCGTCAGGGCCACCGAAAAACAGAAGGACAACATGTCGTTTGGTGAAGAGACTGGCTTTTCCAACAACCTTCTCGGCGGTCAAGCCACGGTCGACGAGGATAGCAACGGAGCATGGCGCGTAGTCGAGGACGTTCTGATTTACACTTCGGATGGAGAGATTGGCTGCATCATCGACTGTCTGGAGCTTGTCGAAAGGCAAGATAATGATGGAGGAATGCTTTTCTTCCGCAAGGGTGCAGATGTTATCATGCATCAAAGAGTACGGAGAGATGGCCGTGTGGGCTTGAATGGAGATGCCGCCTGCATGCTGCTCGTAGGTCTCGAAGGTAGTGACAATGTCTTTCGCTTGAGCCTCGTTGTTTTTCATGTTAAAGCCACCGGCCATGGAGGAGTTAGAGTCAGTGTTGTGGGAAATAAGCACGGCAGACTCTCTGCCTGTGAGCTCAATGAGGTGGAGAGAGGAAACAGATATCGGAGATCTCTTCGTAGGGTTAGACATGTCGAGGAGGCCGATCAGAGAAGCGGCGTTGTTGTTGGAGTGGGCACAGGCGATCATTCGGAGCTCTTCATTGGGCTTCACGCTCATAAGAGATCGCTCTTTGTACTCGATGATGTTCTTCAATGGCTTATATGATGCTGACACCAACGGCATCATCAATGCTGTCATCAGGACGGACATCACCACGACAATTGCAAACGTCTCTTGGGCGATGATCTGTGACAAATCAAACCAGACAATGATCATTAGAAAGAAACTGAAATGCCCAATCTTAGTCATTATTCAGAACAACTTTAGCATTTATGCATACATCTTTATCCCTTGCGACGTTGAGGAGGATTATTTCGGAAAGGCCAGGGGAGTTCATGAGGAAACCGAGGGAGAGACCTTCGGACAGGGGCATACCAAAGTATGAAGATGCCAGTGTCGTGGTAACCACTTTTGCGAAGCTCGAGAGGATGAAGATGAAGATGAGGATGGCAATAATATCAGAGTGCTCCATCGTTGATAAATCAGTCCTGAACCCGCTAGCACTAAAGTATATTGGCAGGATTAATCCTGTAACAAAAGTCTCCAATCTCTCAACCAGTGCAGTACCATGGGTTCCATATGGAAACATCAGTCCATAAATGAACGCCCCAAAAACACCATGAACGCCGATGAAATCAGTTACGTATGCAGATACCATCACCCCCATGATGACCACGCCCAGGTCTATATCGCTCATAGGCTCTCCTTCCGGCGTCCTGTCCACGAGCCATTTTAATACCGGTCGCACCAAGACAACGCAGATGATAAAGAAGCCCAGGCTCGACAGCAAGATGTAGAGGAATGGTAGGCCGTCCATCCCTTTATCGGCTCTCATAGTTCCTGAGAGTACAGCGACAAGGGCAAGCAACACCCAAGAGAACAGATCGTTGACGACAGAGGACAATATGGAAACTCGACCGACCTCTGTGTTCAGAAGCTTGAGATCTCTAAGGACTCGAGCGAGCACAGGAAATGTAGTGATTGATAGAGCCAGAGCGAGATAGACATAAAAGGCATTGTTCTTTTTTTCTTCAAGGAAATAGCCGCGAAAGAGGTAGGCAGCAGTCAAGGTGATCGCAAAAGGAAGCACAATGCTAATCGCTCCAATAGCCATTACTTTCTTCTTCATTTGCCTTAGCACATTTATGTCCATCTCAACTCCAACCATGAACACAAAGCAAAGTAGGCCACAATTACCCATCGACGACAGTATGCTGATGCTTCTTGGTGGAAAGAAATGAGCCTGAAATCCTTGAAAGAATTTTCCCACAAAAGATGGTCCCAGCAGCATCCCTGCCTGCATTTGTAAATGTCAAAAATCATCATCTATCAAAATTTAATATTGAAATAAGAAAAATATGATACTTGTTTGCATCAACATACTAGGATCTCAGCGAGGACCATAGGCTGGCCAAAGGGTTTCAAGATAGCATTAAGAGTGCGACTGGTCAGCGTTATTATAAGGAGTTGGATAAGGAAAAGAGGGAGAGAGTATCTTAGAGGATCGTCGTCAAGCCATATTCCATTGGTGATGATCATATAAGGGGAGAAACACTCTAGCTCTACACTAGGAGTTGTCGAATTCAACACGCTATTGTTCATCTCTGAGGCTTGAGCCATTTGAGCACGAAGACTGCTAGCTTCTGCTCAACAAAAGAAGAAGAAAGCTGGAATAAATTTGATATGGAATTGAAAAAGAAAGAATGAGAGGATTAGAATTTATATTGAAGATTAAGATGAAAGGAATCGGTTGTCCAGTTATCGAGATAGCTGTTGAGAGATCTGTTAACCGAATATACGCCTTTATTAGAAAGGAAAAACTGTATTTCTATGTTTCTCTAACATTAGCAACTATTTAGCGTTGATCAACAGAAAAACAGAAATATTTGTAGAGGTAAGGTTAAGTGGCATTGGCTAAATATGGAGTTTGTACCAGGATTGATGCACTGTACCCCTGATGGTTTTGGTCTATCAGGTCGATCTTACTGTAATCTTGTTTGAGACGACTGAAACTTATAAATCTTTTTCTTTATTTTTCTTTTGGCATACACTACGAAAAATAGTTATCATTATTACTTTTAATAGATAGATGAATCGTTTTAAGCCAAGCTACCATCTGAATCATATGAATATGCAGATGGTAACTTTAATTTGATCCCGAAGCAAATACCATATTCATAATGTCATAAGATGAGGAAGCAATTATTTCAACTGATACATTAACGTGTAAAAGAATTATTTGCAAAACCAAAAAGCCTTGGACATGCCATGTATGTATAATCAAGCACACCATGTTTATGCTAATTTTATCCACACGTACCAGAAGAAAACTCAAATTAAGATCATAATCAGTACCTGGCCATGGTTCACCTAAGCATGCCCCCGCCGCCCCCCCCCCCCAGCATAAGAGAGCTATTGACTATTGCGGTCGGCATGATTTCTAGCTGTGTCATTACTTTATTTGCCATCTTCATGGAAAAGAATTGCAGTTTAAGCAACGACAGTAAGATTTCGCCCCCCCACACCCACCGCCCCACCCCCCCTCCCCACTCCCCACTCCCCCCCACCCCCCCCAAAAAAAAAAAACAATAGCATTAGGTGCTCATAGCTAGCCTCATCGCTCAATATAGTAAGTACTGATGGATATCTCATTGGATAAATGCTTATCAGACATTTCACATATGGTAATATATTTTGATCTAATGATTTAAGTATGCGCATACATATACGCATATGCACTATTCAGTTGTGCTTGTAACAAGATTTCTGTTGTTGTCCAAAATGTTTCTCTTAATTTTGTAACAGATCATGAATGTTTACAATTTCATGGTAAGAGAGATAACCACAAATGAGGTAAAAGTGAACAAGAATGATTACCAAAGTTAGAGAAAAACTGATAGTATAATATCAACAAGACAAGACTAACATTGTCAAATTAATTCTCCGTTACTATAAAAATTAGAAAATAATAGATTAAGGGAAATTGTTTGTATGTTGAGGGCAATTCACCCTCAAGTCTGCACTCAAGTGCCAAGTTTTTGGCCTTCAACTGATAAATACACTAGAACATTTATCATGTACTGCTAAACATCACACATATGATTTGAAGGGTTCATATATGGGAACTGGAGATAAATTAAGAAGTAAAAAACCATGGTTTGAATAGTTTTCTCAAAAGTTACTACGTGCAAACACCTACGTTTTATGGCTAATAACATAAATCAAGTGTATAATAAAGCTCACCTCTGCTCTGCTGCATCACATAATGCGTATCATAACCTCTTAAAATATTTATACCCCCTTCAACAAATATATTATACATCTACACCAATTTCCAGAGAGCTTCACCACCTTCCACAGTTCTGGAGGCTATCACTCGACGCGAGAGCATAGGCATAAATCCCCTCGAAAAGCTTCGAACCAAATAAAACCCCTCGTGCTCGTGTCACCGATAATTTGTACTTCAAACCTCTTAATGACACGCACCGGAATCGGAACGCTTGAACACACCGCAAGCCAATGGGAGGCTTCGCCGGTGATCGGGTGAGGGATCAACGGCGTGACCCGAACCAATGTGATCCATCCGAACTTGTCCTCAATCTTCTTCATCTTCGTCGGCCTCCCGAGCTTCTTCAGTCCTAGATTTGGAATCCCTGAGGAGGTAACAGGCGTGGCGCTTCTTGCAGTAGCGGGACCCACCAGAACACGGGAAGCTGCAGGCGCCGGTTACGGGATTCCTTCCTTTCTCTTTCTTTCTTTTTTTTTTCGCTCGCTAGAGCAGCGTGGGGTTTTTGATGGGCGCGGGGTCGGGTGTGGTCACCGGTCAGTGAGATTATTAAGGGAGTTCTGGGATGACGACTTCTATGTTTGTCCTTTCTTTCTATTTTTGTTCTAAACTCAAATCTAACAAGACACAATAGAACTTTCTCCCTGCCAAAGGAGGATCAAATGTATACTTGCAAAAAGAAAGACCAATTTTTTACGAACAAAATTCGGCGACCTCTGCTGTTTCACTTGAATCAACTGTTTACATCCTGAAATCAAAAGCAAAATTGATGGTCAAGAGAAGAGTAATGAGAGTTCAAAGTTACACAAACAAAAGTACACTAATAAAACAAATACAATACACGTACAGATAACAACATTTCTTCAGCAACCATAGAAATATTACCTACACGAAAATAAAAAAATATTTTGACCATATATCCTCTCTAACCAACATTGCAAAAATATTCTCCAAAAAATCAAATAACCCCGTCGTACTTAAAAACATTTTTGACTTGAAAGCCTGTATTCCTGAGGCATAATTTATATGACCATACTGTAGAGAAAGTATTTTTGATAATAATAATGAGAGATACAGAGTCCTATATATAGTACAGGAGTGAAAGCTATACAAGGAGAGTAGCCTATACAAAGAGGGAGAGCATATACAAGGAAATAGAATAATGAGAAATAAATGAATAAATAAAGCAATTATTTATTTCCTAATACGTACCTTGCTCTCATAACAACTATAACAAGAGCAACGCACCAATAAATTCATTAGCTTTTTAAAAAGAAACAACAACAACAACCAAGCTTTTATCCCAAATTAATGTTTGGGGTCGACAGCTTTTTTAAAAGAAACAAAAAGAAAACTAACAGGCGCGGACATACAAAGGTACAAGTAGAACATAATTTCAGTGAATTATTTGAGCAACATCACCAGGAATTTGATTGCATCCTGGAATCACTCTCCCTATAATTGCATTTGGTTACAGTGTTACTGAGATCTGACTTCTACAACGTATACAGCATATCGCGACGGTCAGAAACCATTACCACAGAGAAAAAAATGTCACATATGAGCTACAACAATGGTTTTGGGGCCGTCAGGCTACATCTGACTTGTTTCCATCCTTTCAGGGATCAAAGCCATGGAAGGCTATAGAAGTGTCTGCTGATAAAGATAAGACATCTTAAATAATTACAATACACTATACTAGATACTTCAAAAGGAGAGTGAGTGGATCATGCTTAGAAGTTGTCTGCCTCTGCGTCTTCTGCCCGACTTTGGCCAGCTCCTTTAATCCGAGATCAATGACAGCCTTGTGAAGAATCGGCTACTATTGGCCCAAAATGATCAACGACGCTATCGCTTACGCCAAGAGTTGCCACGCGTGTCAAATCCACGCTAATTACATGCACAAACCACCCAAAGACTTGCATCCGACAGCAACTTCGTGGCCATTTGAAATGTGGAGGATGGATGTCGTCAGACCGATATCTCCTCCATCAACCAAAGGTCATTGCTTCATCCTTGCAATAACCGACTATTTCTCTAAGTGGGCCGAAGCTGTCCCCTTAAGAGAAGTCAAAACCAGTGATGTGATCAAGTTCATCAAGAATTACGTCATCTACCGATACGGTATCCCAAGGCGCATCATTCATGACAACGGATCACAATTCGTGAGTCATGCATTCACTAGGTTCTGTGACAGATTCGGAATACAGAACCTAGCATCCACGGCTTATAATCCCTCAACAAACGTATTAGCCGAGGCTTTCAACAAGACGATCATCAAGATCTTGACCCAGCTGACCTCCAATAGCAAGCGTGACTGGGATGAGAAGCTAGGTGAAAGTTTATGGGCGTATCGGACCACGGTTCGTACATCAACCGGCGCCACACCTTACTCATTGGTATACGGTTGTGAGGTCGTGTTGCCACTCGAAATTCAGATTCTGTCCCTACGCATCACACTTGCAATGGGGATGACGACTGAAGGTAGTCATCAACGACGTCTCACCAAACTTTAGGCTTTAGATGAAAAGTGACTTGCAGCTCAGCAGCATATTGAGTTCTATCAAGCCCGAATCTCCAAGGATTTCGATAAGAAAGTCAAACACAGATCCTTCAAGGAGGGGGAATTGGTCCTCGCAGTTCGACGACCCATGATCCTCAACTCCAAGAAGAAAGACAAATTCTAACCCAAATGAGAAGGTCCATTTATAATAGAAACAGTCTATTCAAATGGAGCTTACCGCCTCGTCAAACCGAATGGCGATAAGATCCTGATGCCTATCAACGATAAATTCTTGAAGAAGTACTACCCTTAGTCTTCTCCCAACTTCATTCATACACTCCAACTAGTGCACGAGTCTAAACTGCTCCTCATATGCTCCGACAAGTACACGAGTATAAACTGCTTCTTCATATCCTCCAACCGGTGCACGAGACTAAACTGCTCCTTCTATACTCCAACTAGTGTACGAGTCTAAACTGCTCCTCATACACTCTAACTAGTGCATGAGTCTAAACTGCTCCTCATATACTCCGACAAGTACACGAATATAAACTGCTTCTTCATATCTTCCAACCGGTGCATGAGACTAAACTACTCCTTCTATACTCCAACTAGTGCACGAGTCTAAACTGCTCCTCATACACTCCAACTGGTATACGAGTATAAACTACTCTCGACCTTTGACGGAAAGTCCTTAGGGAATGCTACACATAATATTCTTAGGGATAACCCGAACCTCCCACTGGTGCATGAGGCTAAAGTGCTCCTTATATCTCCCACTCGGTCAAACCTTCCTACAGTTAGGACCAGAACCGAAACCCTTTCTCGATTCGTTCCACGAACGAGAGATCTACCAAATTGAACGATCAAACTTTCTCACAGTTAGGATCGTCCCAAACTCCCCCTTGGTCAAAACTCCATATAGTTAAGATCATGGCCAAGTTAATCGCCAATTCTCTCTAATAAGATGGTGGGTCTCAAAAACTATCAAGTTGACAGCCACCTCTGATAGTCATTTCTCCATCGATCTCATTTAATTGAACGATGAATCTTGTAAAACTATCAAGTTAACTATTACCTCTGATAGTCTCCTCCAAATCTCCCCCGCCGATCCTCCCCAATAAGACGTCGCGACCACTTTCATTGTCATGTTAACAACTACCCCTGACAAAATCAACTTACAAAAACTCTTCAATTGGATGGTAGGTCCTCAAAATTGCTCCGATCGCTACAACTCTTATCACATTAATGATTACCTCTGATAGCCGACACCATCATTCCCGCAAATAATATTGTTCGATCAATCGTCACACTCAGACGTCCTTGAACGATTTGATCCATTTCCGAGCGTTCTAATATCCTTAGAACAATCGACGAGTAGTGGCTTACCGCGCGATGGCTACTATATCGGTCAGTCGTCACACTCATACGTCTCTGAACGACCTAATCCATTCCGAGAGTTATAATATTTTCTTAGAACAATCAATGGGTAGCAGCCTACCATGTGATGGCTCCTACAACAATCAATCGTCACACTCATATGTCGCTGAACGATTTGGTTCCCCCAACATCATCATTCCCGCAAATGACGTTGTTCGTCAACAACGGCCTACCAAGTAACGTGCCCTATCGACACTCTATCCCGGTCGCTCCCGCAAGTGACCGGTCAATTCGAGCTAAGTCGTTACACCTAACAACGTGGCCCAACCTAATTATGGCCTAAACTATCGTGATTAACCTAAACCGACGTCTCGCACGACTAAGGCTAGAGAAAAAATCTTAGCATTAAATCTAAGAGAAACTTCTCGATAACTCATCGTACTGAGGGGAATAGTACGACTAACCCAATTCAAACGGTAATCGGTAAAGACATACCAAACCCGTTAATAGTTGAGGGTTTGCTAAAAATCCTAAGTGTTGGCTAACAGGAGAAACGAAAGCGAGAAAATAAGCATACAAGATATTGAAAACGATAAGCAGATAAAAAAGATAATTGTATTCATAACGAGAAGTTTAGACTATACATTCAAACAAAGTTAAAAACTTCTCAGTCGTGACTCGACATCTTGAGTCGCTAGTACATGTTTTCTCTGGACCCTCCTCGCAGCCTCGTGGCGAATGTCTTCCTCGAAAATCGAAATGAGGTTCTCAAGCTCATCCCTCACTGCCTTCAGCGCTCGCTCTTTCTCCTCCAGGTCGTCGATAACAAGCTGCTGCTGATTTTCAAGATCCTCTAGCTCTCCCAACATTTCTTGGTGGGATTGCTCTTTTTCGGCTAGGAGCGCCTGAGCCTCTGCTATAAATTTCTTTGTCTTCAATATGATTTGAGCTAAGTCATTTAAGACGAAGTTGACCTTCCAACTTGCTCCATTGGTCCAGCACAAATCACAATTATAGCAAGACAACGAATTTTATGTGGTTCGGCAAATTGCCTACGTCCACGGGGCAAGGAGGGAGAGTTCTTACTATTAGAGATGAAGAGAATACAAAATAGGGATACAAAATCACTCAAAACCCTAAAACAAAGCTCTCTAAATCTCTCATCAATCTCTCATAATTAGATGCAACAATCCTCTTTCAAAGACTGCTCAAAACGTTCTTACTTCACCCTAATTAATTAGGATTAAGAATATATATCAACTCAAAACGAAACGGAGCAGAAAATAGATTTTGGCCCAAACCCGCTACGTGGTCGACCGCCGAGCCCATCTCGCGGTCGACCACCAAAAGTCCAAAGGCCAAATCACCTACAGGGTTTAAGCGTGGTCGATTGCAGAACCCATCGTGGTTGACCGCCAAAAGTCCAGAGACTTTTTCCTGTTACGTGCACGTTTATGGTCGATCGTCACGTCACCCGTGGTCGACCACCAGTCACCCAAATCATGTTCTTCGTCTTTTCCTACGGTCTTCGTCGCTGTGTTCGCCATTTCTACAATTTATTATTACACGCCTATGCGGAAGCATGGTCACACACCGAACGAACTTGTAAGCACGAGAGAAGAGAACCAATCCACACACGAGCACAATTCAATTCAAAATACGACAAATCAAACCAAACATAGAGATATACGTGGTTTGGTAATTTGTCTACGTCCACGGGGAGAGGATGAGGAGATTCCACTAAATCAAGGAGAATACAAATGGTTACAATCTCACTCTACGTCCACGGGGAGAGGATGAGGAGATTCCACTAAATCAAGGAGAATACAAATGGTTACAATCTCACAAAATCACTCAAATAAACC